AGCCGCTATTTTTTTAATCGCGCCTTCATTCCCCTCTGCCGATCTGGCTAATCTACATGCCTCCGTCGAAGGAGGCATGTAGTCTAGACACACCCCAAGTGTGCTCTCAAAAGGGGCACTTGCTGGCGGCCTTGGAATGGTTAGAGGTGGGTTGGGTGGCTGGTTGTGCTTGCCTGCCCTGCTTCCTTCTGTACGACTTGGACTCCTAAGGGCTGGGCCTGGCCCAGTATAGGCTCCACAAGAAGGAGAGGGAGGAGGTTGAAATGTTTCCCTCTCCATTCCCTGGACATAGAATCTGTGAGCTTTTATGCTGGTCCTTGGGTCTTATGAGAGTCTAACTTGGTGTCTATGTTTTCTGCCAACAGGGCCTGACTGTGAGCTCTGGGCCTTCACAGACAAGACCTAGAACAGGAGCCACACCGACCTGTGCATGGAGATGGCTGAGGCCATGAATCAGGCCATCAAATCCGTAGTGTCCAGTGCCACTTGCAGCACCGTTCTAGCTACTACTACCCCCTCCTCTGCGGCACCTTGAACTCCCGCCTGGGGCTCTCTGGCAAAGAGGACTCAAACGTTGCCACTGACTGCCCCAGGCTCCAGTCCAGTCGGACAATCAAGGCCTGGTAAGCCACATGCACCTGGAACTGGCTGACAAATACAGTTTGCATCCTGATAGCTCCAGGCGTTTGGAGTCTATTTTTGGGGGTGGGATCAGTTGACCTGGCTCCAGCCTGTGGTTCACCAACTCTACCACGAGTGAGTTTGGGGCCAGGAGGGTGTACAAATAGTCATGGCCGTTAGCAGGGACAAAATACTTGTGTTCTCCCCTTAGAGATTGGGGGGACTGAGGAGGCGTTGGCCCGACGGCCTTGGCTAGCTTGGCTACTCCTTCATGTAGAGACAAGGCGACCATGGCTGGAGCCACTTGCCCCAGGACACCAAAGAGGGTGTCGGTGGGTTCCTCCACCTCCTCTTCCTGGAGATCCAGGTGGGCAGCCACCCACTTCAAGAAAGCCTCGTGCACCCTGGCGCCCTGCATCAGGCAAGGGGGACCACAAGGCCTGGGCTGACTGCTCCTCCTCAGGAGGTGGATGCTGGCCCTCTGCCTCCTCCTGCACCAGTGGGGTGCCCAATCTGGCTGAACTCGGTGCCAGGGGCTGGATAATCGGTAGTACAGGGGGCGCCTCAGAAACCCTGGCTACTGACTGGGTAGCTTGCAGCTGCATCAAGAAACCACATGGGGTCCACAGGCATCATTGCGAAAGCCACGGTGCCTGTGGCCATGGTGATGACTGTGTGACTGCAGGAGGTGCCAGGGTGGGCGGTTCAGGTCTTGATGACGATGCCTGCGCCCAGTGGGTGGGAAAACTGTTCCAAAAGGGCCCCCACAGCCCTTTACTCCAGTCCCTGCAGTGCTGGGAGCTGCAGGAAGAGGCGATTTCAGAGACCAAGAGGAACGCCCATGGCTGCGAGTCAGCGACTGAAAGCGGCCCCTGAACCACTTCTCGATGGCGATGACCAGCGACATGGAGATCTCTGGTGCCGGGAAGAGGAACGGGTGCTGGAGAACCTGCCCTGGAAACCTCAGTGATGTGCGATAGTCCCAGTGTGGGGAGCAGCATCAATTTTGTGGGGACCTGTCTTGAGATCAACCCTGCTGGCAGGGTCAGTGACTGGCCCCACTGTGCCCAGCTTGCTGGACAATGCCCGCCTCTGAAGGTCTGCACAGCTTTTCCAGCAAAGGTCTAGATCTCGAGCCTGACCTTTGCCTCCGCATGGCAGGGTGTATTGGGCTCTGGAGCTCTCTCCTGAGACCTTGCTGGAGGGTGGAGCATGGGGTGGCTGGTGACTGCAGCAGTAGCGAGGACTTGCCCCTGTGCCAGGGCCCCGGTGTCAAGGGTGTCGGCAGGATGGGCAACCTAATAATGTCCTGTGCTGCCTGAAGCACCTCCAGGTGGAGGGGACCTGTACAGTCAGTGACTGGGGGTGGGGAGCCTTCTCTGGTGTCACGTCCTGGTCCGATGCCAGCTTGGGCCCAAGGGACTTGTCCTTCCCTGTCTTCTTGGCCTGTTTCTTCAGAACCATTGAAGATTCCTGGTGCCGAGACGTCATCGGTGCCGGGAGGGTGCTCTGCAAGGCACTGGTGCTTGGCACCAAGTCAGACTGTTGGTCTTGCAGAGCCAAAGCCGACTTCATCAGCAGTGACTTTAACCTAAGGCCTCTGTCTTTCAAGCTCCATGGATGGAAGACAGCAAAGGCAGTTCTCATGAGCATCACTAACAGTGACCCTCTGCAACTCAGGCCTTGTCTACACTGGCATATTTTGTCACCTTTTGGCAACAAAACAGTGAGAGCGTTTACACTACAATGTGATTTGTTGGGGAAAACACCTGGTTCTGGTGCCAAAAACTTCCACACCTGCAAGAGACTTTGTCTTTTCCCCTCCCTTTATTGTTGACAAAGAGCCAGCAAAGACTCTGCTTTTAAACTTGTCCTTTAGTTTTTTAGTATTTATGTTTAATGCAGTGATTGTGCACTTCCAGTTCTAGAGGAAGGCTGCGGGGATGACCAAGAAGTTCATAACTCAGGTATTTGTGACTTGGAGGCTCTCACTGTAATAGGTAGTGGGTTTCAAACAAACACCCAGTGTGCAGACCTGTGGAACTCCTCGCTGATGGATGGCATGAAAGTGTAACAGGATTGAAAAAAGAATGAATGAGATTCCAGGAAGGCTCAGTCCAGTAATGGCTGTTAACTTAGATGGCCAGGAACGTGACTCTGGGTGTTTCTAAACCTCTGACTGACTCACATGCTGATTGCTCCATGCCGTTCACTCACTTCCGCAGCAGTGAGTGTGAATCTGCCTCTCTCCAGCCACAATAGAACCCTCCCCCCTTTTTAAAAAGCCCTCTTCCAACCAGGATATGCCCAACTTCCATGTCCTTCCTGACGCCATGGCTCTCCTGTGCGTCGGGGATTATCTGTCACCCTATCACCGCAGGCAGGGGGAGGGGGGAAAAGAAAAATCCCAGCTCAAGGCTACCCAGACCTATTCCACCTGTTGATCAAACTTTTAACTGTCAAAGAAACAGGGTGCGCAGGTCAGACATGGAGTGAAATTTCCGATTCCACATCTATTTATTGTAAATTGTGCCATGAAATTGGGCAGGTATGCTATATTTGGAGCAACGAAATGTTCATCACTACCCCAAGGGGCTGGGAATGGGGTATTGTCACAGGAGAATGCTGTCTGTGGGGTGACTAAGAACCACACAGCAAACTGTTCATCTGAAGTCTGACCTTTGAAAATACAATTTTTTTTAAACAGGAATTTCGTGGTAATTTTGCTGCTGGACGGGTAAATAAAACCCTGACACTGTCCAGGAGTAAAAGAGATTTTAAAGAATTGTCAGGCTTTTGGCAGAATCAGGATCAGTGAAACCCGCCCAGCATCATCCCCTTGTGTACTGATGGTGCAGCCAGGGGGGTCAGAACAAGATGGGTGTCCAGCATGTGCTCACTGTCTGGCCACTGACTGCCAATGCACTAAGCTGGTCTGACCCCTAGCCAAGCAGCCCCCTCCCTGCCCAGTTCTCTGCCAGCCTCACCTTAGCAGAGTCCCCATGGGTTATCGGGTGGTCCGACACGGCCTCTGCTGAAAACCTGCCCAAAGCCAACAGAACGACGAGGAGACTGGCTAGGAAGCCCATAGTGCCAGAAGAAAGGATCCAACGGAAGAGTGTGGAGCTCAGGGCCAGCCAGTCTGAGCCCCTTTGGCCCGCCAGCTGATCTGCAGGGCAGGTAAATAGAACAGCTGACGTCAGCTCTAGCTCAAGGGTCAGGGTTGGTGGTGGTGGGGGAAGAGATGACAGGGTGTTTGCCCTGGCGAGGAGGCAAGTGGAAGATCACTCCCCAGCTGGCTAGATCAGAAGCAGCACCTGCAGATGGATTGGTGGTGGGGAACCTGGCACCCATGGGATGTGTGAGGGGGGTTGAGGGAGCCAGCAAGGGGAGCCCTTCTTGGGCACAGGGACTCCTTTCTTGGCCCTGCAGTAAGCCCCCTTCTCCCAGAATCACATTGTGCCCCAAATCCTCGACTCTGCCTGGCTTCCCGTGGGCAGTGGATGTTTGCTAAGAGTTACATTGGCTGCAATCCTAGATAGGGAGGGGTTGAGGTAGATGGGGGGGTGGGGAATATCCTCCCCTGCCAGGAATCAGGCTGTCCCCCCAAATATCTCCCTCCCCTGGTAGTTAGTGTTGGCCCTTATGCAGTGCTCTTCCCTTGGGAGTCAGCTCAGAGATGGCCACCTGGCGAGGGGTCCCTGTGTAACCAGCCACTCCGCCCCAGAGGTGGTTGCATCTCCACAAAGCAGGAAGGCTCCCAATGGGCAGAGAAGCACACACTGCTCCCCTAAAGGCGTCAGATGTGCAGAGGCTGCCAGGCAGCTTTTGGGTTGAGCATATAGTTGTCTTTTTATTTCGGAGAAGTTATGGTTAAACACACACAGATGCAGAAAGATAAATATTGGATTGTTCTCTACGGGTCTTCCACACAGTCACAGTTGGAACAGAGAGACCAGGCTAAAAGCGGCTGGAACACAGGATTTCTGTGGGGTTGAATACGTGGGTTTTTTGCTCATTTGTTGCTTTGATTATTTTTCTTTTAAACCATTTAGTTAGATCTCTAAAGTGCCATAAAACTAACCAGAGGTGCGTCTAGAAAATAAAGACAAAGGTACATTCAGTAGCAATGCTCCACGCTCACTGAGGACTCAGTGACAAAAGTGCAAAAGGTTTCAGACGGACAGCTATGTACAGATTGGTGACTGCCCCCTCCCACGCCCCCACCCCCTGCATACCTCCGCTCCAGCTCCTGGGGGAGGAGAGTGGGACACGTTCCCAGAATGCCTTTGGTGCTTTCTGCTCTATTCCCCCTCTCCCCGCCTCATGCAACCTGCAATGTACTCTTCTGCTGCCTGTGAGCAATGCAATGGCCACTGCAAGCTGCTGCAGTGAAGGGGGATGCCAGTCATTGCAATGTGGGGCTGTTGCAATGCTGTGGGATGGGGTGGGCTGCATTATCCCTACAGGTCACCACCACGCAGCAGAAGAGGCAGCTGCAATACATGGGCAGGCTGCAACGGCCACAGCGCTGCATGAGGAAGGGTGGAGTGCAGCAGGTATGGCACCACATCGCAGGGGAGCCGTGCGGCACGGCTGGGGAGGGGGCTGGAATGTCCCTGCTGTGTGCCCGAACGCTGCAGGCGTGAGGGAAGGAGCGTTGCATTGCTGGGCCTCGGGGCCACCTGCACGAAGGAGAGCAGGGAATTGCATGGCTGCAGCAGAGGGGGCAGCCGTGCCATCCCAATGCAGCACCTCGCTGCATTGCCGCGCTGCAGGAATCGCCCAATGGAAATGTACACGCACACACCCCGGCCCAACTTCAGGTGCTGCAGCCCTTGCCCCTGCAGCCACTGGGGGTACTGCTGGACTGGGAAGGCTCCCCCAAGTCAATCAAGGCTTAGGGCAAGGCCTCCTTCCCCAACCTCCAAGTCCAAGATGTGCTCTGTGCCAGGCAGCACCCCCTGCTGGCCAGACAGATGGGGCAGTGACAGTGGAAGAGGGGAGGGGTTATTTGCTGCCCCCCCCCCCAGCTCAATGATCCATGGGGATCATGGGCAAGTTTTGGGGGGAAGTTGGGGAGAGATTTAGGAGCTGGTGCAGGGGCAAGATGGGGGGAGGTCAGGTGAATTTAGGGGAATGATTCAGAGATAAGAAGGGGAAGATCAGGGGGCAGCATGACACTGTGGAGTGTCAGCATTGTTTCCTCCAAACTGCATCCCTCATTTCCTCTCTACCTCACAAGTTAAGCCAAGGAGATCACATACCACTCCCCCCAGCTACTAGGGTGTATAAATGGGATCAAACCTCAGATTCCCCCCCCAAGCTCCAAGGAAATCCGCACACCCCTTTGCTCCCCCAAATGTGACCCACTAGGGCAGCAAAGGATTCTGAGAGCAGCACAATCCCAGGCCCACACACTTCCAAATCCACCCCCTCCAAGGTGTATCTCAAGTCACTGGAACCCCAAAGGTTAGGGATTGGGGGGGGCTAACACCCCTCATGTGCCCCAAAAGAGTGAAGGAATCTGGCTTTTGGAGGGGAGGGGGAAGATCTGCAGAATAAGGGGTGCCTGTCACCCCAAGTATCTGCAATGCAATCCTACACCCAGAGATCGGTTGGTGGGCAGATGGATTGGTGTGACGAGGCAGCTGGTGGGAGGTACGAGGAGCGGGAAGGTGGTAGATGTGGTGGGGCATAGGGAGCAGGTTTAGGAGGCACCATTAGGGAAGGACTGGGGGATGGGACGTTAGGGACACTGGCGGGGAAGCTGCTTTGGAGGGGCAGAGGGGTGGATGTTCAGGCTGCAGGCATGGAGAGCAGGTTTTGTGGGGAGAGGGATCGGGGGGCTGGAGTTTGCTGGGTGGGCAGAAGGGCTCACCACAACCCTCCCTGCTTTTGGAGTTGCTTTAACTACAGTTGTTTATGAGGAGTCTCTTTTGGAGGGGGATGCTCCCATTTCCTACATGACCCCCCACCCTGGCATGTGGGGGGGTAAGCAGGAAAAGGGCTAGTGCAGTAGGGAGGGTCAGTGGCCCAGACTGGAGAACAATTAGTGCACTAGGACCGAAGAGCTGGAGCGGTGGAAGGCTCCCCGGCCCGAAAGGAAAATGTGACTCAGCCGGTTGAGGCTCCAAAGCAAAGCGTCACCAGTGACTGTAGAGCCTGGCGCCCTGCCAGGGCTAGGAGCGCGGGAAAGGGGGAGCTGGGGTGGAGGCTGGATGCAGAGGGAGAAAGGGGGTAGGGGACAGGGTGGGGTGCTCAGGACAGGAAGCTGAAGGCAGCAACAGGTGAGGAGGGAGCCCAGGAACTGCTGGAGGATTTGTGCCCCTGCTGGGAGCAGCCAGGCTGGGGTAGCTGGGAGCTCCCCCTGCTCCCCCCCAACCCCTGCTGGGACACTGCAGGAACTGGATTTGGGGAGGGGGCTGCAGTGCATTCTGGGAGCAGATACAGTGTCCCCTCCCATCCAGGCTCCCCCACTCCCAAACTGTCTCCCTACCCTTCAGAGGTGGGGGTTCAGGACGGGAAATGGGACACCCTCATCTCCCAGACCCCCCACACTGGTCCCTCTCAGCTACAATCCCTCCCCAACCCCATCGCAGTGCATGCCTGGGAGCCCTGCCCCCACCAGATGAGTCAAGAGCAAGAGGGGCTCTGGGGGGAACTACGAGGGGAAAGGTTCCTGAAAGGTGTGGCAAGGGGGGGAGGGTCCTGAGGAGTCATGGAAGGGGGAAGAGATTGAAGAGGGCACTCCATCTGGAATGACGGCTGTCAGTCATTGCTTCCCCCCATACGCACCAGTCAGGAACAATACCTCTGCCCCATCTCGTCTCCAGTATCCTGCCCCGGCCACCTCACATCCCAGCTCCAGCATACTCCTCACATCACACTTCACAGGGCCTCCTCTACTTGGCTCCGGCACCTCTCCCTCCACTCCCTTACCTTGGCTCCAGCACCTCCGCAGCAAGGCTATGGCATAGTCCCCCCTCTATTTTGGCTCCGGCTGCCTCCCCAACTTGGCTGCAGCACTGCTCCTTCCCCCCTCTGCCCTGTCTCTAAGCTCAGCTCTAGCACCTCCACAGCCAGGCATCAGCACTCCTTCCTTTCTCCACGCCCCTAGGTTAGCTCCAATACCTCCGTGCCTCAGCTCTGGCACCCCGTCCTCCATTCCTATACCTCTGCTCCAGCGTCTCCACCGCCCAGCTCTGGGACCCCATCCCCAAATCTCATCTTCGGCACCTCCAAGCCAGACTCCAGTGTCCTTCCCTCCACTCCCCCTCTTTCGGCTCAGCAACTAGGCTCTGGCACAGCTCCCCTCTATCACAGCTCTGGGGGCATCCCCCACTTGCCTGCAGCACCTCTTCCTCAGTTTTCCCACCTTGGGTCGGGTGCCTCCTTAATTGGCTCAAAATACCCTCCCCTAATTGCAGCTCTGAAGCTCCCCTGCATCTCCCCCAACCCTGCTGCCTCCAGCATCCCCCCCCATCGCAGAACCAGCACCTGCCACCGAGCCCAGCTCCGGCGCCTACCCCCCAACTCTCACAGGAGATTTCCCTTGTTCAGGCGCTCGGGTGCCGAGGGCTCTCCCCGGACCACCCCCCGGGGTACAGCTGTCCCACCCCCGACCCCAGCTCCGCTGCCAGCCCCATGGGCCCCGGTGCTCCCTGCCTCCTGGGCCTCATTCCGGCAAGGGTTCACCGAGTAGCCAAAAACACTGGGTAGGAAAGGCAGGGGCTGTCCTTTGTCATCTGGGAGGACCATGTTCAGAGCGACAGGCAGCGCGGCCAGGTTGGTGAAGTTGTAGGGGTAGGCGGCCAGCAGCTGGTGCCCGTACATGAGCGGGTAGGGGTCAGGGTAGAAGCTCACTTTGCCCTCCCCTTCTCCAGACCCGGCTTTGCCCATGGTGCTAAACGGGATGGCGCTTGGGTAGGCAAGGAAGGGAGGTTTGTCTTCTGCCTCCTTCCGGGTCCGGCAGCCCCCCGGTGCCAGCAGGGGCAGTGGGTACTCCTGCACTGGGTACCTTTCCTGGAAGCCTTCCCTCTCCTCCTCCTCTGGGGGCGCCGGGGCCAGGCCGGTGTGCGAGATGACGGGGTCTTGCAGGGAGAGGGCAGCTGGGGGGCCGGGCAGCGCTGGAGCCAACTCAGTATGGCTGGTGGTGGCCTCGGCCAGAGGGGCAGCCGCCTCCACCGCCGTGCCCGTCTCGGGTGGCATCTCCTCTTCTTCCTCCTCCTGGGGTGGTGCTATTACCGCCCCCTGACTCTCCGGCGTGTCCTGCTGACTGGCAGTGCGGGCCCGGCTGGCCTCCACAGCTGGTGCCTCTCCACTGGACGACGAAACCTGCATCTCCTGAGTGATTTCCTCCTTGACAGCCGTCAGTGCCGGCTCCTCTGGTTTCTTGGAATAAGCGATGACGGTGGTGAGGGCAGGCGGGACAGGCTCCTGGATCTCCCCCTCATGCCGCTTCATGTGCCGGCTCAGCGCCGCTGCTGTCTTGCAAACCTTGGCACAGTGGGTGCAGGTGAATTTAACCGAAGGCTTACGGCCTACCCGGTGGGCCGGAGCCGGAGCCGGATTGTCTTTGCCTGACCGCTCATGCACGCGCTCGTGCTTCCGGAGTTTCTTGAGGGCCGAGAAGAGTTTGCCGCAGGCTCCACATTCATGCTTCCACTCAGTGCTGCCGCGCCCGGCCTTGTGCACCGGCTCAGGCGCCGTGGCGTCGGAACCACCGGGACTAGGCGATGCTTGGGCGGATGCTGCACTGGGCTCCACCCCTTCCTCCTCTTTCTCTGCCCGCTTCATCCAGCGCAGGGACCTCAGCTTCCGGCGCCACCGTGAAGAGCGCTTTACCTTGGGGACGCCAGAGCCGGCCCCACCCGAGCCAGAGGCCTTCCGCTTGGGCTTGTAGGTATAATAGGGACGCCAGAGCTGATCTTCGGCATCCCGATCACTCTCCTCATCACCACTCTCGTTAGCATAGGAACTGCTGGCACGTTTGCCAGAGCCAGGAGTCGGTTTCTCAGCTGGGCTGAAATCGAAGCGCTTGGGGCCACGTGGGCTCTTGTCCAGCATCAGGTCAGTCTCAGAGATGCGCCGCTTAACGATGGCTTCTTCGCCGATCCGCACCGTGATCTGGCAAAGCGGGGCGCTGCGGCTCTCCGAGGTGGCACCCACATAGGCCGGCTTGGCCATGTACGTCATGGTGCGGCCAGGCCGCAGGCTGCGGGGTTTGGATGGCTCCCCACTGCCCGCCTCCTCCGAGGCATGCTCTGCCGCTGCCTTCTGGGCTTGGATGTACTCCTTCAGCACTTGCTTTTTGAGGGGCTCAGCCGGGGCAGGGCGGGGAGTGGCCAGTTTGCTGTTGTAGGTGATGACAGAGGAGGCCTGGCCACCCCCGCTTCCTGCGGTCAGCACCGACGTGCTGTGCACGATGACCGAGGAGGCCGGGTGACCGTAGGCGATGACTGAGGGGGCCTCGCCATCTGGCTGCACCCGCCGCCCCTCCTCTGTCGTCGCCCCGAAGCCCGTTTCAACCGGGAATGGCGGTGCTGGTGCTGTTGTCTCGTTCTGCTCAGCTGGCGCCGGCAACAGAAACCGCTCAGCCTCAGGCATCTCCAATGCACTGGCAGCCCCAAAGACAGGACCCACCTCCCCGGAGTGTCCCATGGGGTCCGCGTCACCCAGCGCCACAGGGAGGGGTTGTGGGGGCAGCAACAGGCCGTCAGGCAACAGCCCCTGGCTGTAAGTCTTGTAGGGTCGCTTCTGGGAGCGCATGGGCAGCAGGCGGTAGAGCTTGAGTGCATTGAGTTTGGGCTTGTAGCCCCCATTGGGCGTCTTCTCAGAGGAGATGAGTCCCGGGTTGATGCCATGAAAGGCCTTCTGGTGTGTCTTCAGGTTGTAGTAGGTGACAAAGGTCTCCCAGCAGAAGATGCACTGGTACCGGCGCTCCCCGGTGTGCCAGACCTCGTGTTTGGTCCGGTACTCAGCCAGGGCAAAGACTTTGTCACAGTAGCGGCAGGGGGCCCATTGGGCGTCTTCTCAGAGGAGATGAGTCCCGGGTTGATGCCATGAAAGGCCTTCTGGTGTGTCTTCAGGTTGTAGTAGGTGACAAAGGTCTCCCAGCAGAAGATGCACTGGTACCGGCGCTCCCCGGTGTGCCAGACCTCGTGTTTGGTCCGGTACTCAGCCAGGGCAAAGACTTTGTCACAGTAGCGGCAGGGGGAAGGGTGCCCCCCAGGAGTGGACGTTGGAGTGGCGCTTGAGGCTGGAGAGGGTCATGTAGGAGCGCTCACAGACGGTGCAGAAGTAGATGATGTGACCGTCCACCACCTTGACGAAGTGGTCCTGCTCTGGGATGTAGTCCAGTCGCTGCAAGGCTCGGTGGCGGAAGAGCAGCCCTTTCTTGGAAGACATCGGCTTGGGCGGTGCAGAAGCAGAGGGAGCTGCTGCCGGTGCCACCGGCTGGGGCTTGAGTGATGCCTCTGGGGCAGCCACTGCCTCCTCTTCTTCCTCACCCGCTTCTTTGCACAGGACCTCATGGGTCTGCAGCCGCTTGATGTGAATGAAAGTCTTGCCACAGTGGCGGCAGGAGAGGGAGCGCCGGGAGCGGTGCAGCTTGACATGCAGGCTGAGGGCAGCCGGGGTGGCAAAGGAGCGGTTGCAGAGCCCACAGCGGAAGCTGCTGCCTGTTGGTGATGCAGAGGGTGCTGGCTCACTCCCAGCGGCCTCGGTGACAGGGGGTTCACTGCCTTGGTCCCGCTCCCACTCAGAGGCACCATGCAGGAGGGCCGGCTCAGCGGGTGCTGTGCTGAGCGCGTAGAGGATCTTTGCAGTCTCGTTGTCTGCCTCCCGCTCTGGGCTGGGCGGCTCCTGGACACAGACGGGGCTGGTGGCTTCGGCTGGCCGCGACGGGCATGTCAAGTCCACTGGGGAGCCACAGGATCTGGGGGAGGAGACCGAGGCATCTCCAGAGGCCTCGGGGCTCCA